TAAAAGATCAATCGTTTATCATTTCTACATTAAATATTTTTTGGCAAGCATAATAATAAAATTTATACCAAAGTATTTTAGGGATAAAAAGTATTGAAAAGTGAAGAAATAATGTGAAAAGAACAATAATGTGTCAAGATTACAGAAAATCATGAATTTTCTTTTAGACGCACCCGGAAGGATACACTAGACTTGCCCAACAGGATCTCAAAATGAACTTTGACGTAACTAGAGCAAAATAAAACTCTTGAAGCACTTTCGTGCCAAAAGATCGTTGGTTTGGAGCTTTGAACATAAAGTAGAACAAGAGTTTTGTAAGCTTAAGAATAAAGAAAAGAACATTGACTATCGGGATACATCGTTGTTGCTTTGAACATACTTAGTAGTGTATCAGAAAAAAATGCAATCAACTTTTATCAATGACAAATACTTTACCTTTTAATTATTCACCATCTGAATTCTTTGTACAACATTATTATTAACTTCCCACTAATAAATGATTATAATGAGGTCGATTTTGGAAATTCTTATATTGTTTATAACAATTTAAATTTGTTATAAACAAAAAAAATTAAACGATGAAAAAATTACGGATTCCAATGAATGGAAAATTCGTCATCAGAACACAAAGTAAGCCCGGATTCTTTTTTTTTTTTTTTTAATTTTAAAATTTAGAAAAAAAATTTAAACTTTACACTTGTAATTAATTTTTTAAATATTTTATATAACAAACATTAACAAAAAAAAAAAAAAAAAGATCAAAAAATACTTTACTTCACATAGAATCTACTAGATAATAATTACCAAAGTTCCAGACTTTATTTTAATATCTGAATATCAGGTTTGCTGTTGGATTTAAAAAAAATAATAACGATAAGCACATCATAAATTTGAGTTAATTAAAATTTTCGAGAAAGGGGATAAAGATATAAAATAAAAAAAACAGTAATCAAGTTATATAAACAGTATGCTTTATTTCAGTGTACTCTTTTTTTTTATACTGGCTGAGAGAAGAGTCTAAACATGAAATAAGTAAAAAAACACGAACGTCGAACCGCAATGAATAATTCCACCAACAAGACAGTCTCGCTTGCTCCCGAAACACTTGCAGCTTAGTGTGCCGAAAACCTCGCTCGCATTTGCAAATAATTTCTTATACATATATTTTATATAAATACTACGGGGCCAAGATCGAAGTCGCGATGAATTCGCTCATGGTCCATTTACACATCAATCATTTTATCTTAAATTATTCTTTTCTATTTATTATTTTTGTTTATTCCATAATTTAATTAATTATTTTTTTTTTTTTTTTGCATCACTTACATTTACAATAATTTGATCAGTGCGACGGCAAACATCACTAATGATTTCGCAAAAAAATTTTCCCATCTTTTCAGCATGTATTACTCTTTCCTGTCTCTTTGACTTTGCAATAAGTGCCCTTGTTAACTGTTTATTTAATGATGATTATACTTGCAAAGTGGTGGACACAGACCCAAACACAAGAGAAAGAAAGGTAATGTGTTTTATCGGTGCATACTACAATTTGCTTGGGTCATTGTAATTATTTAACGCACCAAATATGGCAAAACATTCGCCATATTAAATCGAGGTCAACGTTGAAAAAGGAGAAAAAGAAAAATTCAAGTATAAATGTAAAGATCCCAAAGACAAGAGACGCCCGGTTGTTACGAAACATTGGGCACCTTTAGCACAACCAGTAGACGTTGCAAATCAGATTCAATATCATTTTAATTTACAACCAAGAGCTGTGAGAAAAAATAAACATCATTTCTCAGTTAAATCAATTCGCTTCGGGAGTTGGTAATATTTTCTCTCTTTCTCCTATTGCACCGTTGTGTTTTACATTACACTATACAGACTATCACAATCACTTATCGCAATTACAAAACAAAAGAAAACTACAATATGTCTAAAAATAAAAATAGAAACAATCTAGTTTTCATTTGTAAAATACATTTCACATAGTCCAATCATCATCAGCTTTCTTATTACACATTGTGTGGGTCGTTTTACTTGAGAAAAGGTGAGGAAAAAAAATATGCGAACGATCAGTGTCGCTATCCGACACTTATTAGCGTAGCATAGGAAAACGGCCACGTTGAGAGTGCGAGCAATCAAGTGGAGAAAGAGTCGCCAGGATTTTATTTAGCGTATAGACACGGCCAAGTATAATCTCGCCTGGGGCCGCCGTCAACGGAGGCCCAAGTGATTAATCATTGAGTGTGCCTTGAGCACAAATAAAACGAACAAACGAAAGAACTTCCCCTTCCGTTTACGCCTATCGGCATTTAGCGAAAGAGAAGAGAAAAATAAAAGGGAAAGATTCACCCTCTGATGGCTTTCATTTTACTTCTCTTTTGCACTGTCTTCCTGCGTAATCGCTTTCTGTTTTTTTCTTTCATTTTGATTCTTAAAGTTCTGTAAAAACATTCTTAACGACTGTCCAATTTCAGCAAAAACCAAAGACATTCAGAGAGAGTTCTTAGTATTTATTTATATTTTTTCCTTAGATTTATTATATCTCATATTTTTGCTTCAAATAAAGAAACGAAGACGCATGAAGATTGTATAAATGCAAAAAAACGAGCGGCGAATCGTAATGAAATTCTTGATCAGTGCAAGTATTCATAGTACCTTCGAACAAAGCTAATATTTATATTTACACACATATACGATCTAAATTAAAACTTACAGAGTGTTCATTCATGTCAATAGTCTAAAACATCAATCTCCCACGATTATTTATCGCGGGTTATCGACAAAGCGACGACGAGATCGCACAGCGAATTATTAAGTCGAGCTTAGTCACAAAAAATTTAATTAACACAGTCTGTAGATTAACAAATAATTTTTATATTCTCCATTTATCACTCAATTATTTTTTATCTCACATCGAAAAATGTCATTTTCGAACTTAAAATATATTTATATACATCAACACGGTAATTCAAATAATTACACATAGAGGAAAAAAAAAGTATATAATTAAAGATGAATGAGAAAGGTTTGAAAGCCGAAGAGGGACTTGAGTACGAATCGATTTCATCTCGCAATAACTCGTATATGTGTCTCGATATATCTTTAACAGTTGCGGTTAATCGAAATGCCAGAAACGTTCGACAGATGGTCATACTGACAGTTAAAAAAAAGAAATTTCAAAATGATGAAATAAAAAGAAAAAGTATCACGATCAATCGATTGTAATTAGGTGAAGTAAGATAAGTGTAACTGAACACCAAGTTGATCGTAAAAGATCGCGTTCGATAGTATCAATCAATCGACAAATGTAGATACGAATCCAAGAATAATAGATATCAAGAAGACATGCAATAGCTGCCTGTCGTACAAATTGACAGACAAGATATCTGATTTTCTTTCATACTGTTTACAAATGAATGTATTCACATGAAAAGAGTTTGTGACAATAAAGATAATTTAAAATTTTTTCATCCAATATTATATTAATAAATATTTCATATCAATTTTATATGTATTAATAATAGCTGTTGATAAATGAATGAAAATAATTGAAAATAAAGTATGTGTATAATAAATAAAGGAAAGTAAATGAATAAACTAAAGGGTTGATAATGTCACATTCGAGCTATAATATTAAAATGCAACGGTGCAAATAATCACGTGGGCGAATTATAACAGTTTACCGACCCACGTCGATATGCCGGTGCCATTATTCAGGTTTTGAAGATAGGATAAAGGTCATCGGCATTGATGTTCTCCAAGCGTCAAGGGTTTCATGCCAGACTGAATAATAAAAGCCCGAAAATAATAATATTTATGCTCGAATACACTAGATAATAATATGTAAAATGTTATCCGATCAAGTAGTCGAAAGTTTTTGGCATTTTAATTTGTTTTTATTTACAAGAGATATATATATGGGTGTATATTGATTCGCAAGCGTTGAATGTTTTTTTTTATTTGACGTCGGTGGGATATTCAGAAAAATTGAATAGTCTTTTTTGTTCATCATCCGCCCAATAAAATAGAGAGATATGTGGGAAAGTGGAGCAGAAAGAAGAATGAAAGAAAGTTGTGGAGGATCATGAAGGGCAATTAGTGTGCAACGCTTGATGCGCTTGGGGCGGAAATGAGTTGCTACCATGAGTATTAAACGCGAAGCGGATATGGGGGCTCCCGGTTTTACAAGAGATTATCGATGAAGACAGCGCGTCATTTGAGAATTCATCTCATATCACGACGACATTTCATTTACCTTTAAGCATAAGTGCGACTTCGTCGTCGATTAATTGCTACGTTATACTAACGATCACACAAACTACATATCCGATACGTTAATTAAACGCCGGGTGTGGTGGACAAATGCTTTGATGACAACAACGATGAAGATGACGAAGAAATAAGGTGGCATCATGCATCTCATCTCATCATCTTCACTCTGATCAATTTTATCACGCAAATGACTAACACAGGATTTTAATATCTATAGACAATCTCACTTCCAGCGTTTCATTAATCCTTAGACATGACAGAGAAAAAATAAGAATAAAGGAACTCAAATTCCAGGAGCTAAAGTAACCAGAATTGTTACTCTTGTTCGTCAATTCCAACACGTACTTACTACGTGTACCGTTAGAAATAATTTTTATTTTTTTTAAAGTAGATTATCTATTGATTTAGTATCCATGCTTTTTGATTGACGAATTGTGAAACAATTTCTTGGTTGCAGTCTTGAACAAACTACCGCGTTTCTAACTCGAGGTAGCATCGAGCCTGAATCATTACAATTAAATATTTCGGTTATATTACCGACACGAGTCGACTTTCGCACATACACGTGTGAGAGTCCACCTGTTTTTATTTTCATTGCTGCTCAGACTTAACTTTCCTACTCCACGCTTCGACGGTTTTCCAATTTATATCTTCACCCCGATATCGATCTCGCTTTCATCACTCTCAATCTCTCTTTCACTCGTTCGTTCCTCCTTCCTACGTCATCTTTTCATTCATTCTTAATACACTTACACACATCACATACAGTTTAATTAAGTCTTTGACTGTTCACTCTTCAGCTTGCAGCAATGTACGAAAGTCCTGCTGCAATTTTGACTCGTGATAACTCCAAATGTCACTGTAGTCCTCGTTGTCATCAATAAATGGTGATTTATCTTCTTCCGGCTGAACTGCACTCGGTGAAGATGAAAAGAATTTAATCTCTAAATCACGATGACCATTGTGTGATGTTACAATTTCTGTAGAAACTTCAAGACTTTGACTACTGGATGCTGGATTAGCTAGAGCTGATAAACCAGATGCATTGATACCAAGTGATACGTATGAGGGACTGCCAGGCCATGAGCTTCGGCCTCTACCTATCTCTGTAGGTTGACCACGGTCACCAATTACTCCCACGTCTCGACTTGGTGTACTGATTTGCTCGCTAAAGTAACTTGATGGATCACTCCAGCTACGTCTTAGTAGAACACCACCGGTAGATTCAAGCCGTTCGTGACGTGTTGAACCAACTGGAATCTGATGGTGGTGATGATGATGATGGTGATGATGATGACCTCGTAAAGGATCGTCAACATCATAATATTCACCGTGTTCTTGGCATCCAAGAGTTGATCGTGATAGAAATAATGGTATTTGAGAAATCTGAACAAAATCATTGCCAGTACTAGTCGATGGTGGTGTTAAAAATGGCGAATAACCATCTTGATCAACATCCCAAATTAAACCAGAAGGATTACAATAACGACACTGACAAGAACCAGGATCATCGATAATATCCACTTTCTCACAGGTATCATAATTGTGAATGTAACGAGGCCCATTTTCATTGTGAATAGCTCGATTGATGGCATTGTTAACCGGATGACGATGGTGGTGATTACGATATCCCTTGGTAAGACCTGTCGTGCGAACCAGCACAGGTACTATATTCCGGTTGTCGTCGAGCACTTTCACTTGCGCGTGTCTATGCGCGTACCTCTGCCTCGTGTCTACAATCTCTTGCATTGGTGCTTGAGTTCTGCCGTAACTTTCCCTACAAACTGGTGGCCTCCGTTGAGCACGGTGAGCTGGTGGTTCGTACCTTGTTTCATAGCAAATCGGCACATATGGCTTTAGTGAAACGACACTCGACTGATCCGCTAGTCCAGAATTAGTCGTGACCGGTTGATCTTCTGGTTTTGAATTTTCCGGTGCAATAACATTAGTAGGCTTTCGATCCTTCTTTCTACGTTTTCTTGGTTTTATTATTCTTGGTAAACTATTTTCACAATTGTTGGAGCTTTCATCACTTGTAATGCTAAGTGAATCAATGTTTGCTATGCTGGTGCCTGAAGAGCTATCCAACTTGGCATTTTGACAGTCATTTTTCTGATTGATTTGTTGTTGTTGCGGCTGTGGTTGTTGTTGTTGCTGCTGATGCTGTTGTGGCTGACATTTTCTTGAAACTTCAGCTATTGTTTTCTGATTTCTGACAGGTGCACAACGTCCAATGGACATTGTATTATTGTTTACGTTACAAAAATTGTTAACATTAGCACTAGCAATGATGTTGGAATTAGAAATCTTTCCACGACTGTGATAGCGGCCGGCTAGAATAAGAGGAGCACCCTGAGTATGAATGGCTAAACGCGATAGGGGACTCCGACTCTGCAGGTGTGAGGAAACCTGCTGGTGAGTCTGCTGATGCTGCGACTCGACCGGCGAGTGCTGCTGTTGACAAGGCGATGGAGAGGATCGTTGATTATTTCTTCGTGGACTAGACGTCATGGAGATTAAAGGAGCACCTGTCCAAGTTCCATACTGACGTTGATCATTTCCCGTAGAATAATTATTTTGAGTATAACAATGTGAATTGTTACGCTGACTTGATTGTAACTCTTTTTTCACAATAGTTTTCTGTATATTATTGGGCCTCACTGTTGATGATATTAAACAACTACCAATATATCTCTCCACCTCCAGGCCGCCCTGAGAGGCACGGCTCATTTTACAATTTAAAACGATCACCAGAACATTAAAATATATTGAGGTAACCTGAATAATATCTCTACCTCAATTTTAACACTTGATACATCATTTCACCTCACAATCAAAAAACCTCTTTCAAATAATTCCACAAAAGTAATTGATTTAATCAAAAACATTCATCCCATATCGTGTGAAATCGTATCAATGATTGGTTTGTTGCGAAAAAAGTTGATAAATGTGAATGCGTCGGAACCGGGTCAACAAGAAAATCACGGAAATGCACAACTAAAATGGACTAAGTAGCTGTCCACCTTTCATAACCGCGGTCCGAGCGACACTAAAGTTCCTTTGCTCGCGCGCATCGACGCCGCCGTCGCTCAGCACTCTGCGACGTCGAGAACCCCACCACGATACTTTACCACCACCTCTTCATCTTCTCTGTCTGTCGCTCGTGCGCGTATTTTCCTCTTCCATAGACATCGCGCCGACATCCCCACCATTTTAGCTGATATCACATCGTCCTTTTCTCTTCATGAACTAAACTACGGAACCGCGAAACTTTGCCACGTCCGGTTCATACGATCAACGCGTTGTTCCTTCCGGTAAACGGCACAATTTTCCTCTGATTCTAAAACGATGCAAAACCCGCATCTAAATGAAATTGATATATACATCACAAGTTTATATTAATATGTCGCTTTGATAAAACTGTTAATTAAGATTAAGGTAATCAGATAAATTGTAAGAGAAAGGAACGAGTAAAGAGAAAGCGAGGAAAAAAGGAGGCTAGAGATCCAGGAGATATCTCGGATGATTGTGGCACCCCCGCATCTAGGTCATCGTCTCCTCAAAAGTGGGTCACGAGTCGTCGATCGCCGCTGGCGTACTTTGTACTTTACTTGCTGCCATGTCTCGACTCACAGTCGTCAGACTCCTCTTTACAATTATTCACTTGATAGTAAGACGTCTAAGCGTTCACTAAACTATTACTCGGCTTAATTTTCAAGTCACAAAATTAACTCTCACGGTTCAACACTCTAACATACATCAAGATGCTCGCGAGAATTAACACCTTAAGAATACTCCGGTAAATGTCAGCAACTCATTCTTTAGGTATAATACACTAGTACTTAAATCATCAATTAGATCATTGCGAAGATACATAATAGAAAATTTTCGACATTGATCAAGACTGATCTGATTAATTTGGAGTGATTGAGGTTTAGTCATTGAAGCAAATAATTATTTATCAAGCCGCGATGTTATACCGTTGAGACGAACTGAGAGAATAGCTTCCCTACACTCTGCACCATTCCAATGCATTATCTGCCCGTAATCTCTTGGTGTAATCCGAATTAGGTTGTACGGTACGCGTACATCCTCCCTTACGATAACACCACATAAATTGAAATTGCTGATAATACAGGATTCATTGCGTGAACACTATTATTGCCAAATAATGTTTGATTCTAAGTCATTCGAATATGTATACATAAACTGAGAAAATTATTTAGTAAATTTTACTATAAAAATTAACTCCAACCTATTTCTTTGCAAACAATTTATCTTAACATATCAATTTATTGTCATTGAAATAAATATTTAATAAATACCTACGTAATTGATAAAATAAAGAAATATTATTATCTTAATTCTCCTTTATTTTTTTTAATTCATACAAATTATATATAGTTTACCTTTTTTTTTTTAATTATTACTGAGAAAATGATACTTTTTGTTAGATTATGAAAGTAACTTTAAACTACTTAACCATTTAAAATAAATTTATATTCAATAATTCTTCGATACAATCTTCGACTTTCTTTTTAACTTCATGTCATCATTACAAGATAAATTGCAAACTATTTTTTTCACTGATTAGAGAATTGCAATTTATTTACAATTTTAAATGAGCAAAAAAAGATAAGAAAGAACTAAATAAGCAAGTGAAACTAGTAGTCGAAAGCGTAACTAAAAGAGTAACAGACGACGTAAAAAGAAAAGGAAATGTTTCATATATAAGTGATGGAACTGGTACTCATCAGAACAATGACATTCGTTACAGTCGTAAAATACCGTAATATTTTCAGAAAAATAATAGAAAAAGAAAATAGATGTAGTATTTGAGATGTCTATTCACAAAGAAAAACAGAAAGTTTACACTAGCGATACTGATTATTAGAATGTAGTTTTCTTCTAGGAAGATGTACATTAGGATGATTGGTAGTTGGTTTATAGGTGGAAATACTTCAATGGGAATATAATTGCATCAGCTTAGAAAATAAATAGGCAAAGTCAATATATTTTGAGATAAATAATATTTTCATATCATTATAGTCATTCTCCTAGACTTATTTTCGAAACTCTATTGATACTCTTATCAATGTAGAACGCGAGATTGAAAATTTTTAAGACTTACTGTCAACTAAATTCAAGCTTTAATCCAACTTTATAGATAACTCTAAGACTCCAACGATTTTCAGTTAATACTACTTTTTCGATGGATATCGTCACAAAATTAAATTCATTTTCAATCGTATGCCATCGAATTTCATCTAGTTATCAATGAAAAAGCCTTGCCAAATGCTACGAAAATTCTGTGCCAGACATCAGAATTTCAATGATTCCAAATTCAAAATAAATTGCATGTTTATTCTATTTAATTTACGTGATATTTTTTTTAGACTTATTCAACATTTCATCAAGTAGAATATTTAGCCAACTAATTGATGACAAATTAATCAGAGAAAAAAGGCTCAATTCGCTTGGCAAAGTCTAACAAAGGCGAGAACCTTACCTTAGGATAAGAAGGTTTATCTGAAGAACATGGTCCTACTGATCGTAAATTACACTTGACAATAGATAAATAGCCAAAGTTCACGATCCCAAAGTTACAACAACCACTCCAATTTCCAGTAGACAATTCCAATATCGGTTTCGGATGAAGCATAACCCGGTCAAGCTCTCTAGAGGTTTAATGTAAAACCAATTACCACAAAAAAATACTCTACTGTATTTTTTTTATGTGCATTTTACTGAAAGTTTGATATTTTCTATATCTAAACTTACATTCGTGCACATACTGAAATTTTTCTATACTGCAATGTAATTTCTTGACATACAGATGAATGCACTACAAATATTGAAATCTTGATTTTTATTTCATTTCTAGGAAAATTCAATTCGATACAGTGATTTTATTTTTATTATTTGAATAAAACTTTTTATAAGAACTGAAATTTATTTTTGATCAAAATGTCATCATATGTAGCGTCATTTTAAATATATACAGGATGTCCAATAGATATTTTTATACACATTTATTTTTTATAATTAATAATCATAACTTAAAAAAAAAGACTACTCTCTTCCACACGTTTTTATAGGACACTCTGTAAAAAAGTCCAATTTTATAAATTTTCTAAAAAAAAAATGATTTCGATGACTCAATTAAATTGATCTTTTGTCCCAAGTAAATGAAATAATTGATGATATTTTAAACCGTATAAAATAATCGACTGTGATAATTATTGTTCACTAAAAGCGAAATAAATTTTTTATCACAACTCCAAGTCATAAACGTTTATCATTTATTATCGATGAACATTTAGGTCGGAATTAAAATGTCATAAAAATAGGCAATTCAACAATATACATTATTTTGTCTCACAGAGTGAAACTAATTTATTTAATTGCTTTTTTACTTGTCAATCCCTGGGGATTTTCTACGGATGTGACTGGAACAAAGTCGTGAAACCTGCGGCTGTAAAATCAGTCGTCCGCGCGAACAAGTCAAGCGACAAGAACGCGAAAAGAAGAGAGAGAGAGAAAACAAATCGCCAGAAGGTGAAATATAGACAGAGGGGAAATCGAACTAAGAGTGAAATGGCATTGTTCGACCATAAAGTTTACGGAAGTCACGCGGGGCGCAATATCCGAGTGGCTCTGGCAAAATTGCGATACGAGTTGGATACAGAGAGCTGAGCAAAAGAAAAAAGAATCAAGAAAGAAACAACTCAAGTCCATAGGAGGTTTGTGCTGCTCTGTGGGGGCTCGAGATGGCTAACACGAAATTGCATTGAGCCTTATGAGCTATGAGTGAGACAGAAAATATAGAAAGAGAGTTGCAGTTCAACGGGCGGTAGATGACATTCCCACGAGTTACTCTGTACACGTCCGATGCGCACTACGAACATGCAATCATACAAATTAATCAATTCTAACCAATCATCACTAAACTTTTACTCACTTTATTTTATTTACAAGCCTAGCAAACTTTTATTACTGTGATCAAACGAAACTTAAAGATAAATATAAAATAACAATGAATCACGCTTTCTACTTTTCAAAAAGTACTTGGAAATTCAATTATTATCATTACTTGATGTCATGAAATAATTAACTTGGCTCGTGATAGGAAAAATAACATCTTTCTACCGAGTATACATTTTCACATTTTACTCTCAAAATAAAAATAAATATTTAATCTTATCTGCTAATGTTATCAACAAGACAAATTGGTTAAAATTAGCACGATGTTCACATATTTTTTCTATAAGATAATAAAATGGTTCTTTTTAGTACATATCTTATCAGTAAATACCCTAGTTTATTTTATGCATCAATATAAAAGAGCTAAAATCATGAAAAAATGATTAGATTACAGAAAAAAAAACATATTTTATAAAATTATTTTTTTTTCAGTAAATTTTTCACTTATTTTTTGGAAAAAAAAATATCTTCATGCCATGAGATATTTTTATCTCGTGATATAATAAACCGTAAAAATGGATAAAAAAGTATTATAGTCTGAATAACTACCAAAATTATTATGCACTAATAATTTACAATAGATAGAAAGTGGAACAAAATTAAATTCAAGAGTTACTGAATAAGTGCAATTTTATGTATGTTTTTATTATTACTATCAAAAGTGACCAAATATACATCAATAATAGGTATTGTAATGATTATTCATACTTAAATAAGCCTTCATAATATTTATTGTGCAAATACTTCTTTGCATAATTATTAGAGCAAGAAAATACCCTATAAAATCATTTATAGATAATAAATATGTAAAGACTTATTGTACCGAGAAACAGCTTTTCATAGTATTGTAATGTTAGAAAGCAAGAGCTTGATTGTCGAGGTCGTTGAATATCCACTCGACAGAAGAGGAGAAATACGAGTTGGTCTCAACTCGGCGTTACCATCACAACTCATCTGCTAGTGCAAAAGCTGCCTAAGTGGGTCAGAATAGCCAGTAAAATGCTCTCTGACCAGACTTTAGTTGTAGATACAACTGCATATTGAATTTCAACGTTAGACCATGTATAGAGAAAATATATTCAACAACAAATACTGATCAACTCCAATGAAATAACTACATTCATGTCAAAGATGATAAACATTATCTAAATGGAATATTAATTCAACTATTTTCAATTGTCAATATTATTCTTCAAGAAAAATACATAGACATTAGACATCAATTTATTTATAACAAAATTTTATTTATATCTATCAAATATAATCATAATAATGATCATTTAATCAATTATA